CCCCCCCCCCCACCCTCTTTCTTTTTTCTCCCTTCTCTCTAGGTAAAAAATGCTAAATAATCAAGAATATCACAATACCAAAATGCACCTACATATTTAAGAAGATAAAAACATCCAGCTAGGAATCCACAAAACAGAAATTCATGATGGTACTTCAAGTAACATTGTATTTAAGAGTTTAAACCTGAAAATGTAAAGAGGGGTTTTGTTTTTTTTTTTTGTTCGAAGAAAGAGGGGAATAAACCGATTTTGAAAGATCATATCAAGCCTTCTACTCTCAGAAATGAAATCCTAGTCCCCCAGCAGTCTCACCCCCTGATACATAGCACCAGGACGGAGATCATCCAAATTATCAAGGGATCTGTAGCCATTGATCTCCCTCAAGCCTATCAAACCACGGTGAGAGAGAAAATCACGGAAATCTCCTTCGCTATAGAGCGTTTTATCCTCAGTACGAACAGCCAGGCGGTCAGGATCATCATAAAGGCAAACTTTTATGGAGACTCCTGAAAATGAGAACGAAGGTCTTTCCATCAAAATCTCATTTAAAAAAAATCTGTGCAACAAGATGTGTTCTATTATAAGTTCAAGAATACCTTCATCAAGGTGAAGAGCATAATTTCCTAATGGCATGTCTCGGTCAAGACTTCGGACGACGTTATCTTCATCCTCCAGCCAAAATGCCCGTTTAGTTCGCAGGCCAAAAGCAGATTTGAGAGCCTCCTTAATTGCATCAGCAGTTCCATCAACACCGATTCTTCTAATGTATTCCCCCCACTTAACTGTTATGACCCTCCCACCATAAGCAGAGTGCCCCTCCCCTCCTGCATGGAAAAAGAAAGCAAAAGAACTGCATGCTTCAAAAGTGGTATCAAATTTGAGGAACCAAATTAGGGTATTGGTTCTAGGTAGGCAGACAAGAAAATCTCGCCAAAGTGATGAAAAAAATTACACAGTATATAGCAGGACAAAATCATTCTAAGCATCCAGACTTGAGACTCCTTAAAGTCTTTAATGAAGAAAGTGTAAATCCAATTCACAAGCAAAGCATGAAAAGGAAATAGCAAACGGCCAATTTTATGCACACAAAGGTTGCTCAAGAATTGAGTCAGCTCAAATTCAGAATTCATATCAGAAAATATTGGATAATCTACATGACGAAAGGAATTAGAAGGGGCTCTTGAAAGTTGATAGTAGAATGATTTTTATAAGTTGCTTTATTACAACACAAAATTTGCTCACTGACCATGTAGCTCGTTCCCAATTTGAGAAGGAAACTTACCTGCACTGCAAGCCTTCTTGCAATAAGGGAATTAATATTGGACAGGGTGCATCTTCAAATCAGAGCACGGTATTTCTTCTCTCGTTTTTGTGAGAATTATTCTTCACATTACATGCAAAGGCCGAGCAGTTCCAAGGCAAAAAAAGTACTAAGATATTATAGGGACTCACATAAGAAGTTACCCAAAATTTCAAAGCATGTGTGCCTTGAGAAAAATTAGATAAATTCAGTAACCAAAACCAAATATTTTCCCATAAAAACTGCATCCATAAACACAAAAATAAAAATACGACAGTTGCAATCTAATCTACGATAAGAAAAAGTCAAAAATCAAGTAAGTGAAGACTTTTTTCTTTCAAATACCATTAAGACTAGTCGAATTGGTATCAACTATTATTAAGGCATATCCTACTTTTTAACACAATTTCACAAAAGTCCAAACTGTATTACAGTTCCTCTTTTGCCCCTTAGTTTTTCAATATGAAAATATCACTAATAAGGTTTAGTTTACTTTCTTGAGAAACCAAACAGGAAAAAAATAAATGAAAAAAAAATATTGGTGTGCAAGGTAATAACACGATCTAGTATCCAAAAAGATTCAATCTAATGTGGGGCAGATGATTTTAATTTTTTTAAAATGGGCTCGTATGAACAGACCAAAAAAATTTGCTCTGCCAAGCTTCCATCAGAATTGATACATTTTATATAATTCGTCAAATAATATATATATCATAAACATTTGGTAGCAGTCATCCTATCTGCTACAGCGGTTTTACAATAAGATGAAATTGATTAAGAAACTATCATCCTGAGAGTGCAATTAGTGTCTCAGTGCCAAATTGAAAAAGATTTAGTATTATTCAAATCCTGAACTGATTTTGAACCATTTATAGTAGGGCTTAAATGTGTGAAGGAAATTAAACAAAATCCAACAGTATTAGAAAAAGAAAAGTAGCACTTATTGGTAGATTTCCCTAAGACAGATAAGTAAACATATAAACATTATCTTACAAAATGGATACACACCATTTCCAGTGGTCTCTCTCCAGTTCCATGGGGGAACTCCACTGGCTGCCACAGCATCAGCTGTTGTAATGGCTAGTGGGTCCCCGTCATGATCCAAAGGCCTATCAAGGTTGACAGTTGACCGGCCATTTGCTGTACAACAATAAAATCTTGATAAGAAACTCAAATCAGAAAATCATAAGAGCAAAAATTATTAATAGCACAAAATTGAAATTCCATATATCTTAGGAAAACTAGGTAATATTTCCACTAGATAGAACGTTATACATATGCTAAAATGGTTTTTCTAGCGTCTTAACATTGATCAATACAGGGACAATAGCAAGAGTATACCAATGTTATTTATACAGCATGATAGTAATCCCTAACTTCCCGCCTCCCTTCAGCAAACCCCAAAAAAGAAAAAGAAAAAGAAAAATATGCTCAATTTAGAAGTTTTTTCCTGCACAAAGTTATAAAGTCACAGTATCCAACTTAAAAAGGTGTATAAGCAGGCTCCAGGATAAACCAAGTCCGATTCACAAAGTGGAATATTCCACTTATCTAACAGAAATCAAAAAACAAATTGGCCCAAAGATAGGGTACAAAGGTGGAACTAGAAATACAGTACAAGACTAATCTTTACAATCGGCATGCCACAACATCCTATATCACTCATATCATTTCTTAACTTGACCCTGATGTGCAAGTGCAACTAAATAAAAAGTTTAACATTGACCACTGCAAAAAATGATAAAAGAAAAGCTGAGGAAGAGATGAACTGTATGACTGAAGAACAGACCATCCCAAGTAATGCACTGGTGGTGCACTGTCATTGAAGGTAATGCTTATCAGTCATCATCATTAACAAAATGATCCTCCAAAGCAACAATTTTAATTTGCAATATATTCAAGTGAATGGTATCTGAATGTGCCAGCACACACACACACCACACAGAATTAATGGGTGTACTCTCTATCCTTCTCCGTGTTATATGAAGTATTAAATAAACATGACTCAGACTAGTCATAACTTGAGAATTACCTTAGAATCTCATCCCTTTTCTATTTGAGTGGATAAGATTACCAATCATCTGTTGTCAAAAATACATCTAGTTACCTCAACATAGCCTCATATCTCAACAATTCAGGTCTTGTTTTCAAAAACCTTCCAACAATTTCAAAAACAAAAATGCCCTCTGGTCAACAATTCGTCATGATTCACTCTGAATATTAGTCACCTCTATCAAATAGGGACACACTCCACAAAAACCTTACATCTGCACCATTTAGGTCTTGTTTCACAAAACATTCCAAAAAAAATTTCAAAGAAACACGCACTAGTCAACGATCCGCTGGAAAATAAGATTGCTCATCCTTTCATCCTTTGTCTCTGATGGGTAGTCCTGATTATTGTTCCTTTTTACTAGTCATTTATCATAAGAAGTAGCCACCACTTTTTCATTGGAATCATCTCTCAGTGCTTCCACATGCCACAATAAAATTGGCCGCCAGGACAACATATCTTGGAGTTATGTAGGCCCAGCTCAATATCCCAAAATCTTGATTCCAGTCAAAAGGCTTTCAATATCTCAACTTGAAGTCTTTTAGATCATCTCAGGAATACAGAATCGGATTCAGAGAAATATACGCCCATCTCCAAATATAAATGTGTATAAGAGCTCAGAGACTTGGGGTTTTTACAGGTCCTTCAAATTTCAAACTCCAGGTTCAGTTGGAGGGTAATCAGCTCATCCTGTAAACGTTGTTGTGCTATCATTTTGTTAATACCCAAAGGGTAATGATATCAACCAACTTGATCATTCTTATGAGCATTTTGAAGCAATACAAGTTAAGTATCTTAAGGGTTTTATGAGCATCTACTCCTGCTTACAACATTCAATTTTCATAACAAGCAAATTCAGGAGGATCCATACAGATATATTATTCACTATTTGGTTGTAGTTAACAACCTTACACCCAAAAAGCTCATAGAACAGTTAAGTTTGAGAAGGGGTCATTATAAATAATAAACAAATGAAATTGTTCAGTAAACTTAACAGAAAGTGAATTTGAACAAAAAACACATTAATCAAAGTGAATCGATTTCCTCTGTGCAGGCCATGAATGTACCAAACAGCTTCTGATGTATATAGGGATTGCCTCCCTAACCAACCATCCGAACTTCTGAAACTATAGGGTTAAGCTTTATCTACTGGCATCTCAATTCTCCATTTTCGCATACCTCATGAATATTTGAATTTATATATGGGATATTCATTTCCTTACTCAAACACCATAAACTTCATACTAGGCACTTAAAGTACGTCCTCCAAGTCACTAATGTCCTAAGAAGCACAAACACGCTTACAAAGAAACGTAACCATGTTGGACACCCTTATCCGACACTCTGACACGCATTTCATACTCTTTTATCCGTATCCATAAGTAAGAGATAAAATATTAGATTCGGACACAGGTCCGACACTCCTTTGGTAACGTGTTCGACACATCTTTAGATCATGTCTATTGCTAAAATATAAACATGTGTTAACATATAATAACCTAAAAAGTAAGGATACCGACACAAATTATGGCTATAATACGACACGGAGACGCAAACCTACTTTCTCAAAAAGTAGGACACGAACACTTGGAAAACACGTTATAAATAATTGTGTTTTATATATCAAATTACATAATTTATCAAAAATATAGAAAATAATTATAACATTATTCATAAGAAGTTTAGTACTTTATGACATGCAACTCTTATATCTAATCAACAAGTGCGAATTTTTAGACTAAAGGATCTTAATATTCAATAATCATCGGCTTTCCATAGACAAAGTATAACAAACACACATAAGTACACCGATTGGTCTCATCTTTTTATTAGTAAATTATAACTACAACTTTAATATGACTAGTCACAACAATTATATGCTTTTTCAGAGTAAGAAATAGCGAAAGTTTTCTCCTCACAAATATGTGACCTTTCTTCCGGGTGAGATCTGTAGATGTGAGGTGCAACCCATACCAATTGCTTGGAGAATCAGACCAGTTCTATTAAGATCAGATTGTATTGATGACTGTTGTTGAGAAGTAATTTTAAATTCATGTTGCTCTCCTAGTCATATAGATTCTAACCTTCCTTCAAACAAGTGCACTTTCCTCCTAAAAACCCTATTATAAACATCTGATATATCTACCATCTAGGCTTGTATCCCATTACTTTCTGTGCTCAACGTAGTTTTTTTTTTCTCTTGTCCTCCACATGCCTTCTTTGTAATCTCTTGGAGGCTTTATCTCATGGAAAAGAGAGATGCATTAAATTTGACGCGCAACAGAGACTTTCAGCCATTGTGTTTCATTCATAAGTTGACATGAAACACAAAATTATCATTGCAAAATAATGCTCAAAACAACGACGCACTTTATCCTCACATGAAGTACAACAATCCCAAACTAACTCCTCCTCTCCCTCCCAAAATAAGCCTAATTTCTACCTACTCTCCTATTTTGACTCTTTTAAGCCATATCCCATATGTTCCTTTCTTACAGCGTCCACTCACATTCTTTTCAGCTTTCATCTTTCCAGCGAAGAACCCAAAACTGATCAATTTTCACCACCACACTAGGGCATTAATCAGTCTATATTGCTTATGATATGACTAGGTGATGTAGATTCAAAAGAGAATTAAGGGATGTGAAGAGAAGGAGACGAAAGGGGGCATGAAGACTACTCTCCATAAATCAATAATCGAAGTCTGCCAATGCAATTGCATTAAACCCTTTTTATAGAGGGGATTCTCAATCTAACTCTAACACTTAAAGATAAATACCAACTAATATTCAAATAAATAAAAAAAAATCCTAATAAATCAGTAACATTTATCCAACTCCAATATGATCCCACCACTAAGTCTTGTGGGTGATTCCTTCTTCCTAAACTAGTTTGTGCCAATTCTCCTCAATTCCTCATGCTTTTTAATCCCAAAAGCACAACCAAACTTGAGTCCTTGACGAGAACATGGTCAATTTCCACCATATAAGAACTAAATAACCATTTCAACAAAGTATTTTGATGGTGAGGAATAGCTGAAGAAGAGCTAAGGAAAAGATAGTTGTTATTAGTTTGCGAGCAGCTATTTTTTTCGTGTTCGTCTCTCTAAACAATAGAAGTACCCAAACCAAAACCCAAGTTTGAATCCCTGACTTCTACCAATTGAGGTTTTTCAAGGCTCATTCCATATCATGTGGCTCCTAAGTCATTGTAGGTGGACTTGTTTAAGATCGATGGATACACGATAATTCTAGAAAACATAAAACCATTTAAAAGTTGATTGAACCTAGGGTGTACTCCCAATAATCCATAGCAATCTCCTGAGTAATTTCCAGAAAGCTTCTAAACCAAAATCACAGCACGAAATGAAAAAACACCTTAAGAATGAATTAACAGAAGCCCTTATGAACAGATGTTAATGAAGGTATCAAGATGCCTATTGCCAAATATAGGTAATAAAACCAATTTACCCAAAAAAATCTCACGCTCAAGGAAATCATATACAGTTGTGTATCAAATAAATAACAAGAGAGCCAGGGATGGCACATTGCAGGTACAGGATCGAGCCCCTCCACCTAACCTAGCTGCTGGGAAGAATGTTGTTCCATTTTCTGCACTACAACCAGGAAAGGTTTCTAATTTTATACTATATTTGTCTTGTGTTAATTAGGAAAACCCATTCCCCCTCCCAGATCTGCCGTAACTCTCTGATCAAGTTAATTTTTTCCTTTTTCCTTCAACTTTCTCAGCAAACAAACACTTTCACAGAAAACAAGCAAGATTTATAAAGAACATAACCAAAATCACACATAAAACAGAAACAGACTCAAGTAATCATAAATAGATGTATATGCACAAAAAAGACCAGATTTGGTCATAGATTATCAGAAAATGGAAAAGGAAACAACTTGATACTACAGCCGCATTCCTGCTGTGACTGATATTGGATGACGATGACGAGGATGCCACTAATGGCAGTTGACGGCGGAGACGACGACGTCTATAAACAAGGCGCATGGTGAAGTTGACAACAAGAAGACGAAATGGCAAGTTGGATGAGAGAGTCACAAGGAGTAACAACAATGTATTGTACAAAGTAAGAAACCCTAATTTTACCCCAATTTACCCCTCATGAGTTAGGCCACTAGAGGGATTCTTTAAGAATATTCTAATAAATAAAAGTATATAACCAGGGGGGTGGGTCAAGCACCCAAACCATGTCCCAGTCACCTCTTCCTTCGAACCCACCCTTCCCATACCATTTCAATAGCTGAAACACGTGGCGGATGATTTACTTTGCAGGCAACATTGCCATTATAAGTTCCAAACAAGGAAATTCTATAATGTCTAGGTTAGCACCAAAAATGCGCACCAAAGCAGAGCTGGGCCAATTAATAAGTATTGCAAAACTAAGATAACCATTGCTACTCACAAAATTTCATCTCTTCCTTTAGAGATTGGGCTTTTTGTTGGTTTTTTTCGTTTCTTTTGTTTTTTTGAGGGGAGCGGGTGAAGAAAGGACCGAAGGAAGGAAGATGAACCTGACACAAACTTATGATTTATTTCTGTAAGGATTAAAAGATTTGATGTCCACAAATTCAAAATCAGGAGATAAAGAATTGTTGCACACATAATTATAATGAAGGGTGCATAATTGAATAGGCATTCTCCTTACCAAAGACCCACAGCTTCCTGTTGCCTTCAGATGATACGACTACTTTAAATTTCAAAAGGGAGCAAAAGCTACTTGGAAAGAGATGATGCCAATTTTTTTATTTTACCTTATGTAGCAGAATTTTGATACTGGACCTTTTATCCTTAATTTCACAAATATTTGATTTTAGAAAAAAAAAATTAACTTCGTTTCTATTACTCAATTTTTGCCAAAAAAAAATTCTGCTACTCGAGAATTCAGCTGTACAACTCTTTAAAACATGAAATTCGAATGAATTCCTGGTAAACAGTCTAGGCCGGGAGCTCAATATTGTTCAGAAATTTTGAAATGCACTGGAGAGGGTCTTAGAGTGCAGCCTCTGCATTCTTCTATTTTAAGTGTAATGTCACTTCTTTATTGATGACAGTAATTAAATCTTGCTATAGTTAATCAATCACATGAAATTCATTTAGATATACATGTAGTTTAGAAGCAGTTTCCACAATCTGACAAGAAATATCTTGTCCACCACAGTCAGATGATTCCATAAACGAGCTGCATGAATTGGAGTGTTTTAAAATGACAAACAGACCACGCATGGGTAAGATTGAGAAATATACTATGGGCCACGATGAATAAAGATGCACTCTTAAGTCGTAAATTGAAAAGGAATCATTAAATTATTCAAATGCATCATTAAATTAAGTTCTAGTACGGTACCTTCCACTGGTCCAAATGGGATATTGCCATCCTCAAGACCTGAGTAACAACAACAAATCACTTAGTTATAAGACGTCATACCAGCTCCCTTCATGGTAAAGGTACAACTCCGAGGATTATGACAACTAAGCCATTTGCGGGCAACTTCACGGTTACAATAATAAAAGGTAAGAAACCCTTAGAAGTAACATTTCCTACTTTTCTGCAAATTAAAAACCAACAACATAAAATGCAATTACCTGCTGGAATCTTGGAGTATGTGAGATGGGGAGATGGGAATCGTGAAAGCTAGGTTTTGGAAAAATATGTGGAGGGGTGATTGTTCCTTTGCCTTGTCTTTAATATTTTTAGGTTGTCCATGTCTCGAGAGGCCTCCATTACAAGTATGTGCTGAAGATTTATCCATCCTTTGGTAACTGTGACACACTTTGGGATGGGTTTAATGTTTACAACTCGTGTACCATAAAGAAACCTGTGAGGTGGGTAGGGTTAAGGCAGGCAGGGATGAGGTTGTTTGGCGAGCCAGGGTTAGGATAAGAGAACTGTATTACACCTGCCCTGTTGCTATCACTACCCATAGATGCCAAATGACAAAACTGGCAGATTACATTGTTTACATCCCAAGTTGACTAAACTCTTTCAGAAACCTTCAACATCATCAGGATAAAACTTATAACAGAGTGCAAATTAAATGCTTCCTTATAAAGTAGGGCTTTCCAAGAAAGCAAAGAATGTCCTGACCTCTAAACAAGATCATTCGTAAAACAACAAAGAAAACGAAACCCCAGCAAAGGGATCTACTATACACCCCTTGAACATACACCTAAAGGTAACCATAAACGTCCACTGCTAACGATAAATAACATGAAAAATTAATGCGTGGCTAACCCAATAAAGCAAATTTCAGTATGGTTCAGCTAGCAGTTTGGAAAAAATTATATTCCTTTAAGAAGAAAATAAGCCATTCGGCCAGTTTTTTCATTGTTTTTTCCTTCCCTTGTATTCGCATGGAAAACAAAGAGAAAAAAACACTTCCAATTTTAAGCAAATTCCGGAAGTATAATTCTCAATCAGCAACCTAACCCCAATATCCTCCAGACGATAAGTCTAGACCTCAACATTTGGACATAATTAAAGCAGATAACACCAGAAATAAAAGAGAGATTATGGAATTAGTGACTACCTTTATCGGAGAACTGAATATAGGAATCGACTTTCGAAGAAGTAGGACTTTTGTAGGGACTATTCCTGGTTCTATCTCTAAGCAACTCCTCAAGCTCCTTATAGTACAACATTTTAGCCGAACCACTTCCCCTATCTTGCTGCTTCACTTTCTTGAACTCCTTCAACAAATTCCTCCACTTGTCGGTACACATAGTCGGTGAGCGGTCGAAACCCTTGTCCCTCATCTTCGCGGAGATCTGTTCCCACAAATGTTTGTTCGACTTAGAAGTATTGAAAAGTCCATCCACTTCACGGCGAAAACTGATCAAGCTCCGAGTCTCTTCCTGAATCCAAGTCTCGGCTCTCTTCTTCGGAGCTTTCACTTCGTGGTCTTCGCCGCTGCTTTCACCTAGAATCATCTGTGGGTGCTGATGGTTCTGGTGATGATGATGAGGTTGCAAGTCGCCATTAGAGGTTACCTCTACCACCATGTCTCTCTCTCCTCCTCCTCCCGCTCCCCCTCCTTTGTAGAAATCAATAGGACGAGGCTTCTCAGATAAATACATGTTCAATATCAGAAAACAATAATTTATTGAGCATGTAAAACTAGAGCAAAAACCCTATCTTAAAATTTACATTAAAAAGTAGTGACTTTGAGTTGAAATTGAGTCTTTCTGTGTGTGGGAAAATGCGAAAAAAGGACAGATATAACCGCACCGAATACGAGAGGCAGAGAGAGAGATGGTTCAGCAACTTGCCATTGAACACGGTATTTGCCACCTCTGACCATCTTAGTATACTCATAAAGACATAAACCTTGTATTTGTTTTTTATTACTCTTATATTAATTATTAGATTATGGTACTTACTTTTGTTTGAATTAGCAAACTCCACATACATGCCTATGGTTGTTATTAGAACGAGTAATGCCTATGTTAGATTTGTTAGCAGATTGTGGAAGGTTCATTTGGATCTTGATAACTTTCCATTATTTTGTACTCAAATTTAAATAATTTTTAATTGATGATAATAAGATACAAACCCAATTATACATATCACAGGAATTACATTCAACCAATCAGGAAATGCAGAATTCATTTTCACTTAACCAAATCTAGCACCCACAAATTCTTGTAAATTAAAATACATTCAATACATATCTACAAAACCAAATTACCAAAAAAAAAAATATATCAGATGTGTTTAGATTACATTCAATAAACAGTATTCGAAAACAATTTTTAAAAAGAGTTTAGAAAAGTTGGCTTGTGGAAATCTTTTGACCATGATATCTTTTGCAAATTGCGATGCAGCAATCCATTTGATTCTTGCATTCAGCTGAAACAGAGAACAATGGGGAATCCAGCGCTGTTCACTTAGCTGGTTATGGCTCAATTGCTTTTCGCTTCCAAAAGGAATAATATAAGAAGATTTGAGTCTGAAAATTTTTGAGCACCATCCATCATGGCCTGAGCAATCTCATGGAGCTGAAATCCATGACCTCAAATCAACAAACACCTAGGCACCGTTTGCTGTTCTTGAGATCATTTGGCGTGACACCAAGTTATCAATGATCCTCTTAAGTGCAGGAGCACTCATCCCACATTTCGTATCAGTGAAGCAAGATCTACCTTCTTCAGCTGCTTTGCATAGCTGAGGGTCCAAGGGCACCTTCCCAAGAAAAGGAACACCCATATCATTACACATTTTCGTGGCACCACCACCACTAGAATCAAAGACTTCACTGCAAGCGGCCAAATTTAATAATTCTGGAGCTTTTTCTCTGATATACTTCATTGCCCATTCAGTTTCATCTCTCTGCTCACCTGTCCCTGTCATCCTTAAGAATTTAAAATCTGACAATGGTTGGCACAAGCTACTCATGTTCTCGATGATGCCAAGAACTTGAATCCCGACTTTCTTGCAGAAATTCACTTCTTTCCTGACATCAATTAAAAACATCTGTTGTGGAGTGGTCACTATGATAGCACCGTCTAATCCAGCTGCTTGGAGGAACTGTCCAATTGAAATATGCTCATCTGAGGTCCTAGGTGGGGCATCAACCACCAGAAAATCAAGTTCTCCCCAATCAACGTCCTTCAGGAACTGCTTGATTAATGCAGTCTTGCGTGGGCCCCTCCATATCACAGGCTCATCTGAATTGGGTAGCATGAACCCAATCGACATGACCCCAAGATTGGACTCAACATAGACAGGAGACCAGCCAAGGTTACTCTGATGAATCTCTTGGCCTTCCAGGCCAAGCATTTTTGGGATGCTTGGGCCACATATGTCAATATCAAGGAGACCCACTTGGAAATCCATAGCTGCAAGTGCAAATGAGAGTTGAGCGGAGAAGGTGCTCTTGCCAACCCCAACCCTTGCCAGATAAAACCAGTATCTTATGCTTCACTGTTGCCATTCGTTCTGCAATTGCAACCAAATCTGCCAACAGAGCGTTCAGAATGGCAAAAACATTATCACCATGAAGCAAACTAGAGTCGACCAGCAGAGAAAGATTATCGCAAGTATAAGCCTCCGCAAGACATGAGAAAAGCTTTCAGTTGCACAGAATTAAGTTTATTCCGAAGGTGGCAACTCTTGTTAGATGATATTTGTCGATATTCTTTCAAAACCAGATGCATTTCCATTGATGCAGCCCAACTTAAAAAGCCAAATGAGATATCAAAGCAAAAATGAAGAAGTTGTTACTATTATTAGTTAACATTGAAGGAGCAACATCCTCAGATAAGAACATAAGCAGGGAGAGAAAGGAAAGGGGAAAGGAAGGGGGGGGGGGGGGAGTGGGATTTTTCCCCACCCCCCTTTT